TTTATTATTATTAGAGCACGCGGCTCTGATTCATAAAAACATTTATTTCAGTCGGGCCTGGAGCATCCTGGAGCATCCTGGAGCATCCTGGAGTATCCTGGAGCATCCTGGAGCATCCTGGAGCATCCTGGAGCATCCTGGAGCTCTACAGCAAAGCACAAACCCAGGGCATCTTTTCCTGAGATGGATTCACTCAGTCTGACATCAGCAGTGAGCAGCCAGGAGTTTGCTGCACGTGATCAATGACCAACATGGACGGAAACAATAACACTGGACAAATACGAAGCTGTTAAACAGAACACAGCTGCTGTCACCAAAGTGCTGGGTGCACGATGCTCGTCACTGCTGCTCACATTTAAGGCAGCCGTGAGTTTGACCTGCAATCCAAACTGAACGCAGCTTTGCGAGCACAATCTGAGCATTGCAATGAGCCGCTCTTCTGCAGTATCGCTTGTCACGGCTAGCTACATACTTAGCATTGCGGTGAGGAGTGAGCACCACGCCGTGGCTCTCTGTGACGTCGATGACACAGTGTTCTGCCTGGATGGCCATCCCACACAGCTGGATGTCCTGTGAGTCGGCTGAGCCCACGCGCGTGTGATCCTGGATACACAACAAATGGTCAACAATCTGAATGCTAACACAAGCTAAACAGCTGCACCTGAGCACATCTGCTGTTAATGCAAACATCTAATCAGCCAATCAAATGGCAGCAACTCGATTTAGGATGGTGAGTTCTCAGTACTTTTAGGTAGTAGACCAGCAGCTCGTTGAGGGCGGGGTCGGCGTTGAGGTTGACCAGGTAGCACTTATCGTCGAGCACTCGGATACCAGACGACTGCAGAGAAATGCCCAGGCTCTCCAACTGCCGCTGACGCTCCTGCAGAGAACGTCACGTTCAACAACAACAGAGCGACTGTTCTGATCTGTAGCTGCTTGATGACAGAAAGAGAAGTGGCTGATGCTGAACATAATCTCCATGAACAGAACAGACTGATGACATGTGTCAATAAATGAATTGATTCTGAGTTCAAAGAGTTTTTAAAAATAGATTCCTCTGGACAGAGATGGAAAAATAATGTGTTCAGCGCGTCCTGAAAACTGAAGCGTTGAGCTGCAGTTCCTCTAACGGCCACTTGAGGCTGCAGGTCTACGGGCTGCTACAATGACACCGTTACCATGACTACCACCACTTATAGATGCTTTCAGTTCATTTCAAACCTCTGCATCCATTTGAACACTGGTAACGCGCAGAGGTTGGGGATGCAACCCTCTCCCAGTGACAAACAGCTGACTGAAGTTGCTAACCCTCTTAGCTGTGCTGTTGGCGTCTTTTGGCCCATTTCATAGAAGGATGTGACCGACAGCACGGCCGTGTGTGCAGCACTGTCCGTCTCAGCGTTGGTGAAATCCCATCATTTACTTAGTTTACACCTTCCTGTCAAAGCCTTCGAGCGTTGGCTGATGACTCCAAACGCTGAGGATTTAAACGCCATCAGAAAGCCACGGTGACGTGTTTTGTATGCCGTCTTGTGTGTTTGTGTGTTTGCGTGTTGCTACCTGTGCAACGGCCTCAGTTTTCCTAAGTTTGTCCTCCCAGGTGACCGTCATGTCTTGGATCAGTTTCTCCGACTCCTCCAGGCGCTCCTTGAGCTCGGGGGCCTTCATGGACTGAGAGTGACAGCAGCTTCATCAGACTCTGGACACGTGTCATTATTACCCATAATGCTCAGGCTGAACGAGGCCAAACCTCCGCCTCGGTGAGCTGCTCCTTCAGCTTCTCCACTTCCTCTCGTAGCTCGCGGATGATCCTCGCATTGGGGTCTTCGTTCACCACGGCGTGGTTGACGATGTTCTTGGCCCGGTCGGCGTAACGAAGAGTGGACAGCGTCTCGTCGTAGTTGTCTGCCACCGGGCTGATAGTGGCCACCATGGCGGTGCGACTGTTCCCTCCGAGGCTGTCCTGCGGGTACGAACATCGCCTTAAATTCAGTTACTAACCCCAAACTGAGCATTACAGTAACATAATTAAGCACAATGACTTATGAGCACGTTGGGGAAACAACAGTTCACACCATTACAATCTGGAGCCAAATTAAAGACTGATTTCAAATGGAGCCTTTTTCAAACTGAGCAGAACTAAACAAACAGCAGAGCCTTGAAACGTCACAAAATTAATTCGAGGCTAAAGAAATGCCTCCGATGTGAGGCTGCAGTGCGATGTGAGGCTGCATACTTGAAAACAAAGCTCCTTTCTTGTACCTTGAGCAGCCAGGTGAGCACCGAGTCTCTGTAGGGGACAAACTTGCTCTTGTTCTTGCCTGCTCCGTGGTCAGCCAAGGCAGAGATGACTAAACCCAGAGTGCTGAGAGATCTGCAGGGAGGCACAGAGACAGGCTTGTGATGCTGAGATTAGTCCACACCTGAACAATCTCAGCTTCAAACCACGGAGCGAAGCACAGACTCAAAGACGGATGCCGATGCGCTTCTGCAAAACATCTTTAATTGCAGAAACTAAAATATGCTTTAGGCGTTCACACTGGTGAGCCAATAGCAGGCTACACACATCAGAGCTGCTTCAGCACTAAAGATGCTCAGAGATGCAGAGAAACAAGAAGTTTCCAGTAACTTCAAACAAACACGGCTGACTGGAGGCTCTAGAGCCGAGGAACTCCAGGCCTCGAGGCCGCTGTCTCACCCTGGGTCAGCACACCTGAATCACACCTGATGAGGTCGTTACCAGGCCTCTGGAGAACATGCTGAGGTCATTTAGCCTTTAAATCAGCTGTGTTGGCTCATCATCTAAAACCTGCAGGTCACCGGCCTCGAGGCCTGGAGGCGGACACCTCGGCTCTAGACTGAAGACAAACAGCAGCAGGCAGTAAAACCGTCTCGACTGTCAGTGTCACAGGTTGATTTGACTCACTTGTTGATGTTGCTGCCTTCTTTGAGCCGCTCCCCTGCAGCTCCAGTCTTCGCTGCGCGCTCACTTCCAGCCAGATCCACCAGACTCAGCTTGCTCACCTTCTCACCGCTCGTCTGCAGCAAATACACGACGAGTAGTGATGTGCGGATCGATCCTGAAATATCGATTCCTCCGATACCAATCATTTATGTT